CTTAACCAAACATACTTTGATCTTTCAGCTGATAGTCGCAAACCGCTTTGCGAGCCACATGTGCGATTTCAGGCTCCCTTGCGCCAACGGTAGAACCATCCTGCAGTTCAGGCAAATCATCTTTTAGCCGACCTGTCGGCCAAATGCCAGCCAAACGAATGGGTGCAGCATAGGGAAGTTTAAGTGGGATACCACCTCCTGCCACCGGTCCGTGCTCGCCGCCGCCTGGCCACATGAGCGAGGTGCCAGTCTCGGAGGAGCCGGTGACTTTGATCAAATTGTCATTCGTCGGTCGGCCTGTCGGATACAGCATGACGGCATCACCTCTGGCCTCGACCAAGTGTCGTCTTGTCGGGACCCCAGCTAGCCGAGTCGGTAGGGGCTGCACGCCAGCAACCATATCTGAGGATCCCGAACGCTGGTAGTGGCCGGAGCGCGAGGTCAGAGGAGAGCCCAGCGAGCTGGTCGCAGATGCAGCCAACCAGCGCTCCCTTTGATGCCTGAGATAGTCGGCGGACAGCGGAACGACTCCGTAGATCCTTTCCACGTCGTCATTCAATGTGCTTGTCCTAACAGTAAGACCTTTGCTGAAAAAATTTACATTTACCAAAGAAGTACATTTTATTAGATTTAACCAAGGATTTTATACTCTACTCAAATATATTAAGTAATATGTATGTAATGGTTGAATAAAATAATGCCCAGGCGAGTTAGGTGGTAAGAGAAAACGTTTTCGCATAAAATGTAATTTACTTAACCATGACTTTGTGGAGGCTGAAATAAAATAATATCTATTCCAGCATATAGTTTATATATCATAACAGCAAAATGCACTGCCTGCCACAAATGTCCAGGCAGCAATTTCAACACATTTCAAGAAGAGCGTGAATACAATCTTAATTACAAATAAACAAAAGGTTAGCATATAAAGAAAAAGTGGGTTGAAAGGAATTCAAAAAATTGATCCCACCGGAAACCGAAGGAGGGTTGCTGCAAAGTGAAGAGTGACAGATTTAGTATAAAAGTCCTGTGACGCAGATGAATTTGTGCTAATCTTTCGTATGTACCAT